ATTTTTTTTTATCAGTACTGTAATTTTGGTATATTCAGTACTGTAATGGCAAGAATATGGTATATGATTTGATATTTGTAATTGGCAAGAATTGGTATATGCGATTTTTTTATTATTTATTATTTATTTTTATCAGTACTGTAATTGGCAAGAATATGGTAATATGCGATTTTATTTTAATGCGGAGTTTTGTAATGGCAAGAATATGGTATATGCGATTTTATTTTATTTATTTATTATTTATTTTTATCAGTACTGTAATTGGCAAGAAATATGGTAATATGCGATTTTTTTTATTATTTTATCAGTACTGTAATTGGCAAGAATATGGTATATGCGATTTTTTTATTTTTTATCAGTACTGTAATTGGCAAGAATATGGTATTTTTGATTTTATTTTATTTATTATTTATTTTATCAGTACTGTAATTGGCAAGAATATGGTATTGCGATTTTATTTTATTTATATTTTTATTATTTATATTTATTACTGTAATTTATGGTATGCGGTAATTGGCAAGAAAACGGCCATGCGGATATTAGTTATTTCCGTGCAGTTTATGGATTTTTTTTTATTCGTAATGTCATGCCGTTTAATATGTACGTACATAAAAAGATGTACTTTCGGACATACAGATATACAAACATATATACGTATACTCTTATTTGCATACAAATAAACATATATACATATACATACATAAATACATACATACATATATACATACATACATATACATACATACATACACATACATATATACATACATGAATACATACATAATATACATACAGACATTAGTACATATATATATACATACATAATGATCATACATACGTACATAATATACATACATACATCCATACATGTATACATACATAATATACATACGGACATACAAACATACATATATATAATATACATATGTATATATATATATAATATATAATAATATATATATATATATATATATATATATATACTGCACATACACACATGCAAATATACGTACATACATACAAACAAACAAACATACATACATCCATATAAACATACACATACACACAATCCCAACGACCGAAGCACAGAATCAGGTCACAATCGCTTCTAATCATGATTTCGGTTGCAATCCATCAAAAACCTGTTAATTGCAATTGATAAATTCCTAGACTCATTATAGGTGATTCAGTGATCATGATTCATGGAAATTGGTTTTCTCTTCACTATCCTCACGACACTATCCCTTCAGCTACCATCACTTTCCCTGACCCGCTGTGGATGTGTCGGTCTTATCGCCAGATTGGATTTCGCTGCGGCCGTCCCCGTGTCAGAGCGATCGCCGGCTGGCAAAGTCTATAACCGTTGTTTCGGTTATTTGCGCGACGAATGGTATGAATTGGCGGTTTATTTATCTTTATTATTTGTTTTGGGGGGGGGGAGTTAAATCAGCAGCTAATTTTGTAGCCACGCCAGCCAGTTAGCTTCGAAAAGCAGTGTTTAGCGAGCGCGAGCTGTGATTGGTCGAGGTCGCGAATTTCCGTTGGGAAGGTTTGAATACTTTTGTGACGTCACGATTTTCTGGTAGCGGGGGCGGGGGGGGGAGGATGTGAAGGAGACAAATAGTAAGGAAAGTAGGAAGGTACAGGCACGGTTATTGAGCGTGGGAAGTTAATTATAGTCAAAAGGCTAAGGACATCAGCGAAGAAAATTCTTTAGAGAGAAAAAAAAAAATCAGACAAAAAAAATAATCCGTTTAGTATCGAGCAGAGGCAAGATGATGTTATTATCATACTAGTCTACCTCGCTGTAAATTCCGGGAATCCTTGCTTCACTCGCATAGACCAAGCAGGATAAACACGGCTGATGTACATAATAGGCTAAGAAACTTACAAAACAAAATATTTACTCTAGAATAAGATTTCCACTCCGGGACATCAACTGGGCGGAGCTAAGAGGGGTGATCTCCTCTGCCATTGGCTAATTGTACAATCTGTTTGCCGATTGGATAGTTTATGAGTCAGAACGTCCTGATTGGTCCGTTTAAGAAAAAATGAAGGTCCCGGATGTGCCAGCGAGGGGTGCTAAGGAAGACTCACAAATTGCTCTCAATTGTGCTTATAAAATTAACAGAAAAGATAAAATGAGGGAATATAAAAATTGGCGGAATCCATGTTTAGCGAGCAGGGCGTAAAATCGTGAAAAAGACAGTTTAAAAGTTTCCATTGCATCTAGTCATGTTAGATAAAAAGAATAGCAGATAAAGAGATAACAATGATATCCCAATAGTTATTCAAAATAATGAAGATAAAATATTATTTAATACTCACTTACAAACGCATATTAATTGTTATGTATGCATGTATACGCACTATGCTGTGCTTATATCTGCCGGTATGCAGCTGTTTGTTTGCATGTGTAAGTGTGTGTGTATGTATGTTTGTGTGTGTGTGCGTGTGTGCTGTTCCCAACCAATAATTATAAACTTTCAACTTGCATCGCACAAAAAAGATAATCTATCTATCTCTTTCTATCTATCTATCGATCTATCTGTCTGTCTGTCTGTCTGTCTATCTATCTGTTTATTCCTCTTTCTATCTATTCTATCTATCCTACCCTGTCTGTCTATCTATCTATCTATCCATGCCTCTTTCTATCTATCTACCTATCTATCTATCTGTCTGTCTGTCTATCTATCTATTCCTCTTTCTATCTATCTACCTATCTATATATCTGTCTGTCTCTAATCTGTCTGTCTGTCTGTCTGTCTGTCTGTCTATCTACCTATCTACCTATCTATATATCTGTCTGTCTATCTATCTATCTGTCTGTATGTCTGTCTGTCTATCTATTCCTCTTTCTGTCTGTCTACCTATCTATATATCTGTTTGTCTATCTATCTATCTGTCTGTCTGTCTGTCTAGCTATTCCTCTTTCTATCTACCTATCTATATATCTGTCTGTCTGTCTATTTATCTGTCTGTCCGTTGTCTATCTATTCCTCTTCCTGTCTATCTACCTATCTATATATCTGTCTGTCTGTCTATCTATCTGTCTGTCTGTCTGTCTGTCTATCTGTTCCTCTTTCTGTCTATCTACCTATCTATATATCTGTCTGCCTGTCTATCTATTTATTCCTCTTTCTATCTATATACCTATCTATCTGTCTGTCTATCTATCTATTCCTCTTTCTATTTATCTACCTATATATCTATCTGTCTGTCTATCTATCTATCTATCTATTCCTTTTTCTATCTATCTACCTATCTATATATCTGTCTGTCTATCTATCTGTCTGTCTGTCTGTCTGTCATTATCTATTCTTTTTCTATCTACCTATCTACTATCTATCTATGTTGTCTGTCTGTCTATCTATCTATTCTTCTATCTACCTATTATTATATCTGTCTGTCTGTCTGTCTGTCCCTATCTATATCTATTCCTCTATCTACCTATTTATCTATCTGTCTGTCTGTCTATCTATCTGTCTGTCCGTCGGTCTGTCTATCTATCTATCGATCTATCTATTTATCTTTATATAAATCTAAAAACGCAGTTATATATGGTCGTATTGAAAAAAATGTCTATTCCCAGTAGCCATATTATGAGTAAATCTATTTGGAATTATAATTCTTAAGTCCCTAAATCTACCTTGCTTTATTATATATATTTATATATATATTATATATATATATATATATATATATATATATATATATATATATATATAATATTATCTTTAAATCGATTAGTTTTTTTTTAACTCGCGATATAAAACGAACATATTTTGAATGTGAGGTAATGAATATGTGTCTTCATCTGTCTTTGTGCCTGTCTGTCTGTCTGTCTGTCTGTCTGTCTGTCTGTCTGTCTGTCTGTCTGTCTGTCTGTCTGTCTGTCTATCTGTCTGTCTCTCTGTCTGCTGTCTGACTGTCTATTGATCTACCTATCTATCTATTTTTTATCTATTTATCCATCTATCTGTCTTTCTATCTATCTGTCTATCTTGCTATCTATATTCATCTACCCATCTATCTATAGTCTATATACCTGTCCATTTATCTATCTATCTATCTATGTGCATATACATGTATGTGTGTGTGTGTATGTATGTATGTATGTATGTATGTATGTATGTATGTATGTATGTATGTATGTATGTATGTATGTATGTATGTATGTATGTATGTATGTATGTATGCCTGTATGCGTATGTACGACTTAAACATAACAACAGCTAGGAATAAGAACGTTTGACGACAAAAAAGGTAACAAACAGACAGAAATGGAAAGAATTGACAAATTTAAAGTAAAGCCAGAAACGGAGAAAGAAAATGAGAGAGAGAGAGAGAGAGAGAGAGAGAGAGAGAGAGAGAGAGAGAGAGAGAGAGAGAGAGGAGAGAGAGAGAGAGAGAGAGAGAGAGAGAGAGAGAGAAGAGAGAGAGAGAGAGAGAGAGAGAGAGAGAGAGAGAGAGAGGAGAGAGAGAGAGAGAGAGAGAGAGAGAGAGAGAGAGAGAGAGAGAGAGAGAGAGAGAGAGAGAGAGAGAGAGAGAGAGAGAGGAGAGAGAGAGAGAGAGAGGAGAAGAGAGAGAGAGAGAGAGAGAGAAGAGAGAGAGAGAGAGAGAGAGAGAGAGAGAGAGAGAGAGAGAAGAGAGAGAGAGAGAGAGAGAGAGAGAGAGAGAGAGAGAGAGAGAGGAGAGAGAGAGAGAGAGAGAGGAGAGAGAGAGAGAGAAGAGAGAGAGAGAGAGAGAGAGAGAGAGAGAGAGAGAGAGAGAGAGAGAGAGAGAGAGAGAGACAGACAGACAGACAGAGAGACAGAGAGAGACATTCAGAATAGGCATGACAAACAAGAAAAACAAACCACCAAATAAAACCAGAGACCAAAATAAGAGAGAGAAAAAAATCCTTTGACAGAACAAAAAGAAAACACCTAAAAAACATCACAAAAAAATAGAAAATAGAAAACGGAGAGAGATCCAAAGACGAACATAGAAAACGGAGCTCACCCAGCTGGTTGCCCCATCTGCTTCTTGACGACCGGCTTCACCCCGTTCGCTTCGAGTTCCTTCTCCAGTTGCTTGATCCTCATTCGTGCCATGTCCAGTTCGTGCTTGACCTTCCAGATGTGGGTGTCGCACAGGGGGTCACGGCAGCGGTGCCTCCTCAGCTTGTCCGTGGCCTCGTAGACAGCGCCTCGGAAAGTGAGGGATTTACCCATGCTCTGTTGGGGGAGGCGGAGAGTGAGTGGAACGGAGGGAGGAAGAGGGAAAGAGGAAGGAAGAGGAAGAGGAAAAGTGCTCTGTTGGGGGAGGCGGAGAGTGAGTGGAACGGAGGGAGGAAGAGGGAGGAAAAGGAAGAAGAAAATTGCTCTGTTGGGGGAGGCGGAGAGTGAGTGGAACGGAGGGAGGAAGAGGGACGAAGAGGAAGGAAGAGGAAAAGTGCTCTGTTGGGGGAGGCGGAGAGTGAGTGGAACGGAGGGAGGAAGAGGGAGGAAAAGGAAGAAGAAAATTGCTCTGTTGGGGGAAGGCGGAGAAGTGAGTGGAACGGAGGGAGGAAGAGGGAGAAGAGGAAGGAGAGAGGAAGAGGAAAAGTGCTCTGTTGGGGAGGCGGAGAGTGAGTGGAACGGAGGGAGGAGAGAGGGGAGGAAGAGGAAGAGGAAAAGTGCTCTGTTGGGGGAGGCGGAGAGTGAGTGGAACGGAGGGAGGAAAGAGGAAGAGGAAAAAGTGCCTGTTGGGGGGGGGGGGAGAGTGTCAGTGGACGGAGGGAGGGAAGAGGGAGAAAGGAAGAAGAAATTGCTCTGTTGGGGGAGGGGGGGGGTCAGTGGGACGGAGAAAGGGAGAGGAAGAGGAAAAGTGCTCTGTTGGGGGAGGCGGAGAGTGAGTGGAACGGAGGGAGGAAGAGGAAAGAGGAAAAGTTGCTCTGTTGGGGGGGGGGGAGAAGTGTCAGTGGGACGGAGGGAGGAAGAGGAAGAAGAAAATTGCTCTGTTGGGGAGGGGGGGGGGTCAGTGGGACGGAGGAAGGGAGGGAGGGGAGAAAGAGGAAAAGTGTTCTGTTGGGGTAAGGAAGGGGGGGCAGTGAAGAAGGCACAACGATAACACCAAAGAAAGCCTCTGCCTTTTAGAGAAAGGGGGAGAATCAGCAATAAATCAAACAAACGAAGAAGAGGAGGTAAACACACAAAAGTTATTAGGGAGAGAGAGGGAGGCTGAGGAATAAAGGAAAGACAGGGGAGGAGGAAGAAAGCGACAGAAAAAAAAGAAAATGAAAAGAGAAATGAGAAGAAAGAGAGGTGGGAGGAAGAGGGGAAGAGCGACAACACATACAGAAAGAGAGAGAGAGAGAGAGAGAGAGAGAGAGAGAGGAGAGAGAGAGAGAGAGAGAGAGAGAGAGAGAGAGAGAGAGAGAGAGAGAGAGAGAGAGAGAGAGAGAGAGAGAGAGAGAGAGAGAGGAGAGAGAGAGAGAGAGAGAGAGAGAGAGAGAAAGAGAGAGAGAGAGAGACAGAGAAGAGAGAGAGAGAGAGAGAGATAGAAAGAGAGAGAGAGACAGAGAGAGAGAGAAGAAGACAGAGAAGAGAGAGAGAGAGAGAAAGAGAGAGAGAGAGAGGGAAAGAGAGGTCGAGGAAGAAAAGAAGGAGGCAGATAGAGGTAGAGGAAGACAGACGACGGAAAAGGAAAGTCTTACGGCAGGCGGGTTCGTCCACCGAAATTTTGGGGAGAAGCTACACATGTTCCGACCTCGTCCGGGAAAGTGAAGGAAGAAGCCGGTTTTCTGAACATCGAATAGATTTTTTTTTTTTTTTCGGAAAATACGGCGCTAGAGGGAAGGCAGGCAACGGCAGTGAAAAATAATAATATATATAAATAATAAATAATAATAATAATAATAATAATAATAATAATAATAGTAATAATAAATAATAATAATAATAGTAATAATAGTAATAATAATAATAATAATAATAATAATGAATATAACAAATAGTTTAACGTGAATATTACGGTCGAAATGGTAGTAGGACTATGGAATATAATGAAAATTATATATATAATTTATATAATAAAGATGGAAACATGAGATACACAAAAATACACCAACCCTACACATATACATGATACCGGTAACATACAAAGACAATCACTCGCACACACCACACACACACACACACCACACCACACAACACACACAACACACACACACACACACACACACACACACACACACACACACACACACACACACACACACACACACACACACACACACACACACACACACACACACACAACACACACCACCACACCACCGCCCACCGCCACCCCGCCCACCCGACCCACCCCCCGCCACCCCGACCACCCCGACGCACCCCCCACCCACCACAGCGAGACGAGAGCACAGCACCCTCCGGAGTCCTTCTTGGCCAAGTGCTTCCTCACATACTTGAAGTAGACGTGCTCGAGGGCCAGCAGGACAATGGCAAGCACCATTCCGATACCAAGCAGGAG